ATCTATTCCTGGAGCCTTATTTTTTGCCATTTCCTTCAAAGCAGCCTGAACTTCTTCTTTCATCACCATAGGCTCTTGCTCATATGTTGTTTCATGAAATTCTTCTGTGTCTTCCAATTCCTTTTGATACAGTGATTCAGTATATTCTTTCCATCTTCTTTGAATACTTCCTGGATCATTTGACTTTCTGCTGAAAGCATCCTTGATTATAGCAACTCGAGGTTTGAATTTGTTCTTCAGTTCCTTGAGCAGTGAATTTTAAAATTTCTTTATTCCCTTAGCATTTAATCAATTAAAGTAAATGTATAAGAGAATTAACCAAAGCTTTTTAAATACTTCTGAACATTGTTAACCATTATCTGTGGGCTCCAAACATTTAAAAGATTGAGAAACTGATGCTAGGGTGATTATAGGTCGAGCAATTTTTTGGTCTTCTGTGTTGTGCTAAATTACCCTGTTAAAGGAGAGTTTTATTCTTGCAACATAAACAGTTTTTTATCTTTTACAAAATATTCTTCTGTTTTATTATTCATATGCTTTGTAGAAGGTAGCTTATGTTCAGCATTGCCTATATTCCATCATTCTCTAAAAAATTAACTGTTCTTAATGGCATGTTGTAAATGCTTGGTTAAATACATTTCTTTATTCTTTTCATAGCAAGTCACACTAGTGTTTAAGCTGTGACACACCTTTACAAAATAAATGGGGGCTGTGTTCTCTCCCTGGGTCCCTGTTGACCTTGCTCATTCTGTTGGAGTTAAAGCTTGGAATGAGGTTTTTCTGGAGCTGCTCTCACCTCAGTCCCATGAGCCACATAGGCTTTCGGTATAAACACAGCCAGAAATACTAGAAATGGGATCATCTAACATGTTACATATTTAGGTTAATGCTGTTATTTTTTTTCAATTCAAAGATCATTTAAATCAGGTTGTTGAAAAAACAAATGTCACACCTCTGGACTCTTACCCTTATCAAATGGATGAGGTTCAAAGTCGGATAAAGGAAATTCTTAACAAACACAACAATGGCATTTGGATATCTAAGCTTCCACATTTTTATAAAGAGTTCTATAAAGAAGAACTTAATCGAGGACTTTTACAGCAATTTGAACACTGGCCTCATGTTTGCACGGTATGTTTTTCTTTTTTCCTCCCTTGTCTTTCTTCCTTCCCTTTGCATTTAGATTTTGTTATTAGTCATATCACCTTTTATCCAGGGAGAGTACAAAGCACTGTACATATATTGTCTAGTGAGCTTTATCACTAAGAGTAACATATCATTGGCTCTTAGAGACGTGTGTATAAGTTGAGTGTCCTGTGTGTTATAATTGCTTTTGTAATTTTGTTTTAAATTATTTTAAAATGAGTTTAATATATGATAGTATATATGCAATTTTATATTGAATGCTTTCAATTTTGATAATTTCTCCATTTTAATAATTGGAACCTTCTGGTAATAAAAATTTTTTAACCTCAAATTTTGTATGATACCATTTTAAAGACTTTAAGTTGAACAGATTGTATGTAAGTGACTCTTTCAGCTACTTATTTAAAGAGCACCTTATTTTTATTTTAAAAATAATATAGAGATCAGATTTTAAATTTTTACAGACTGCCTTTGGAGAAAATATTAAGTGAACTTACTAATTTCCATAACTATTCCTCCTTACCAGTCTATTATTATAATGAGGTGATGGAGCAGGATAGTTTATTAAACATTATAACTTGGCCAAAGATAAACATTAGACTCTTAAAAAAGCACTCAGATTTTTATTCATGTAGAATATAATAAAAATTGTGACTGTTTAAGTGGCAACTTTTCATAGTTATTCGCTGGTTTGATTTTATAGAATTAAGTATACTTTTATTTTGATAAAAGCCTTTTCTTTCCTTTTTTTTAAATTTAATGACCATTTTGACCTCCAACCTTGGGACAACGTATAGCCTGTCCCTCATTATAAGCTCTTGTGTAAAGACAGCATCGATTTGTTTACCCCAGGCCACTATCAGTGGTTTAAGTCCTACACCCATTCCTGGGTAAAAACCACCCTCCTAACTGTTCATGCACCTACCTACCCATTGACCCATCCAGCTGTCCAACCATCCACTCACCCATTCATTCATCCCCAAACAACTCATCTGTCTACTCACTCACCCATCGTTCATCCATTTCGTGGTTTTTCATACCTTCAGAGAGCTCTCGTGGCCTACTTGTAAGAAGCTGTGCTACAATCTCAAAAGCACAAGGTTTAAATCCACCACCTGCTCTGTGGGAGAAGCATAAGCAGTCTCCTCCTGTGTAATATAAAGCTTTGCAAATCTGCTGGAGGGTTAGCTTGGGTTGGTTCTGACTTGATGGCACACAACAACAACATGTACCTTCAAGTGCCAGTCACTATCTTTGTTGAGATTACAAGTAATCAAGACACTTAGAATCTAGTGAAGGAGGCAGGGTAAAAACAGATGGGAAAGTCATTATTACAAGTTTTAATAAATATAATTAATAAATTGATATATATTACAAAAATCCCATCTTGGATGGCTCTTAGGACCAGAAGAACTGTATGATACCTGGCTACCACTGTCAACCACTCCAGAAAGAATCACAATAGGAGGTCCTGGACTGAGTAGGAGAAAAATGTGGAAGAAAATTCAAAATAATTATAATTATGAGGAGAAATGTGGGGTCAGGATTGGTAGACGATTTATCAACAATCTGCGTTATGCGGATGACACAACCCTGCTTGCTGAAACTGAGGAGTACCTGAAGCGCCTGCTGCAGAGTGTCAAGGACTGCAGCCTCCAATATGGATTGAGGCTCAATGTCAAGAAGACAAAGATTCTCACCACTGGACCAATTGGCAGCATCAGGATGGACGGTGAAGAGATTGAGATTGTACACAACTTTAGTTTGCTTGGCTCTGTAGTCAACAGTCTTGGCACCAGCAGCCAGGAAATTAAAAGGCGCATTGCCATGGGAAAGTCTGCTGTTAGGGACCTCTCCAAAGTGCTGAAGAGCAGTGGTGTCTCTCTGGAGACTCAGGTGCGTCTGATACAGGCCATGGTCTTCGCAATCACCTGTTATGCATCAGAGAGCTGGACAATGACCAAGGAGGATAGAAGGAGAATTGATGCCTTTGAGCTGTGGTACTGGAGAAGAGTACTGAGAATACCATGGACTGCTAGGAAAACAAACAGATTTGTCCTGGAAAGGGTTAAACCGGGTGGCTCCTTGGAGACAAGGATTCTGAGGCTCCGTCTAACTTACTTTGGACATGTTGTGAGGAGAAACCGGTCCTTAGAGAGGGACATCATGCTTGGGAGGGTGGAGGGGCGGCGCAGGAGAGGAAGGCCCTCTATGAGGTGGATTGATTCAGTGACTGGGATAATTGGGATGGGGTGTCAGAGACAGTGCGATTGGCACAGGACAGAGCGGAGTTTAGGGCTGTTGTACATAGGGTCGCTGTGAGTCGCAGGCGACTCGATGGCACATAACAACAACAACAACAATAATAATAACAATAATAAAAACTAGACTTACTGGTCTGACAGAGACTGATGGAACCCCCAGACTATGACACCTTTAGACACCATTAGGGCCTGGAACTGAAGTTACCCCAATAGCTCAACTTTTAATTGAATGTGTTGTTAGGTGCTGCAGAGTCAACTATTATTTCTAGGCACTCTGAATTCCAGAGCTGAACCTAGCCCTATCCTGTGCAGTCCTCATCATCTCTGAGCAACTTCAGCTCACTGTATTGATCAATTTTTTATTATTATTAATTATTTTATTAATTTTTATTACTTATTTTAATGAAAGTTTACAGAGACTTTGGATTTCCATTTATTCGTTGTTGTACTTTTTTTCCTGCCCACCCCCTCCCCACCCTACTTCACTAGTCTCTTTGAAAAGTAAAAGAAATATACTTTCATTGGTATACAATCCCTCCCCCAAGTTCACTCCACTGTGCAGCCTTCATTCTGGACTCCTGTCATGACAATAATACTGTATTCCTTTTAAACAGTTCTCTCCCTCATCTGTTTCAGTGCAGTATACATTATTTATCCCCTCTTTCTCAGTCTTCTCCCAACCTCGATGTCAATCTCATTTTACAACAGTGGCACTATGCAGTATTTGTCCTTTTGTGACTAGATATTTCACTCGGCATAATGTCCTCCAGGGTCACCCATTTTGTGTAATATTTCATGGATTCCTTGTTTTTCAATGCAGTGTAGTATTCCATTGCGTGAATATACCACAGCTTCTTTATCCATTTGTTTGTTGATGGGCAATTAGGTTGTTTCCAACTCTTTAATATTGTGAACAAAGCTGCGATAAACATGAGTGTGCAGATCCTCCCCCCACTTTTTTTTTTAGGTTTTCCACATTGCTACACATCTGTAATACCTGATCATTTCTCGTGTGAGTAGCTTCCTACTCAGTTGTGGGTACTTCAACAGCTGACTTTTTGTTGCTTTTGTCAACACTCAGATTAATTCCCTTTCCTGATTTCTGCTCAGGCAGTGAGAGTGGACTGTGAGGCATAGCTCTTTTTTGTATCTCTCCCATTTGAGTTGATGTCTTTCTTGTTAGGTGTCTTCAAGTCAACTACAACTCAAGCAGCCTCATGAAAACAGATCTACACCTTGCCCTGTCCTGTGCCAACCTCACCATCTCTTGATAGGCCTTGTTTGAGCTCACTGTTAGAATCATTGTGCCTGTCCATCTTGTTGAGGTTTCTCCTCTTTTTCACTGACCCCCCCACCTTACCAAGCATGATGTCTTTTTAAAGGACTGACCCCTCCTTACAACATGCCCAAAGTGTGTGAGACGAAATTTGACCATCCTTGCCTCTAAGGAGCACCTTAGTTGCTCCAAGACATATGTATTTGTTCATTTGACAGTCCAAGCAATATTCAGTGATTTCTACTACACCACAACTCAAAGGCATAAATTTTTCTTCTATAATCTTTATTCAGTGTTCAACTTTCAGATGCATAGCAAATGACTGAGAAGACTATGGATTGGATCGGATGTACCTTAGTCTTTAAATTGACATATTTGTCCCTTAGAACTTTGGAGAGGTCCTTGATAGCATACTTTCCCAACGCAATACTTCTTTTGATTTCTTTAGTTCTGGTACTTAAGGTGTTGATTGCTGACCCAAGTAAGTTGACATTTTCACTCCTTTCTCCATCTATTATGATGTTACCTGTTGGTACAGTGGTAAGGATTTTTGTTTTCTTGATGATGAGATATAATCCATATAGAAGGCTGAAGTCTTTGACCTTCTGTAGCCAATGTTTTAAGTCCTTCCTACTTTTAGCAAGCAAAGTTGTGTCATTTGAATAAATGTGGGTTTTTGTTGAGTCTTCCTCCAGTTTTGATGTCACACTGTTCCTCATAATGTCCAGCTTCCTCAATGGTTTGTTCAGCATACAAATTGAATAGGTATGGAGAAAGGATACAGTCTTGACACATGCCTTTCTTCATTTAAAACCATGCATTGTTCCTTTACTCTATTCCGACAACAGCTTCTTGGTGTAGGTAGAAGTTTTGCATGAGAACAATTAAGTGTTCTGGGATTCACGTTCTTCTCAATGTTAGACATAATTTGTTGTGCTCTACACCGTCAAATGCCATTGCATAGTCCATAAAACACATACATCCTTCTAGAATTCTCTATTTTCACAGTGTTAACTTTGGTGCAAAGGCCTCTTCTAAATCAGCTTGAATATCTGATATTTCTCTGTTAATGTCTATTCTAGCCATTTCTAATAAACTTCAACATGAGTCTGCATGTAATATTAGTGATGTTGTTATTGTTGATTGCTATTGAGTTGAGCATGACTCATAGCAACTTGATGAACAAAAGACCTGATGTCTTTCTATAACTGTCGTCCTTTCTCCAAGTTCATAGAGTTTCCATAGGCATTTGGTTTAGGAAGTGGATGCCAATCCTGCTTCCAAAATAATTGTTTGATAATTTCTATAGTCTGTTAGATCACTTTTTTTTAAAAACTCGAACACATACCACTTCCAGTCAGTTAACCAGGTAGCTGTCAGCCAGATATCTTGGTACAGCCTGTTGAGCACATCCAGGGCTACATCTGTTTGTTGAAGCAGGTCAATTCCTAGAGCCTTATTTTTTTTTCTAATACCTTCATTGTAGCTTGAACTTTCATTATCATTGGTTCTTCATCATACACTACTTCCTGAAATGATTCCATGTCAGCTAGTTTTTTTGGTACAGTGACTTTGTGTATTCCTTCCATCTTCTTTTGATGCTTCATGTGTCATTCAGGATTTTGCCCATAGCATCCTTCAGTATTGCAACTTTGAATTTGTTTTTCAGTTCTTTGAGCTTGAGAAATGCTGAGTGAGTTCTTCTCTTTTTATTTTCTGACTCCAGCTCTTTCTACATTTCATTATAATGCTGTGTTTTGTCTTCTCAAGCTGCCCCTTAGAATCTCTATTTATTTTTCTACTTTGAAGTTTTTTCCCCTTTGTTTTGGCTTCTCAAAACAAAGATGTCAAGAAACACCTAACAATAGCAACAGTAGTAAACAATGAGAAAATTTCTTCTCTAAATGGCCAGGCAGTAAATATGCTAGGCTTTGTGAGCTGAGAACACTGAGACCACTATACATAGTGTCTGTTGCAATTGCTCCACTCTAGCATTGAAGCACAGAAGCAGCCATCAACAGTACAAAACTGAGAAAGACTATATTCTGATAATCAGTTTTCACATGTCATGAAACATTACCATTTTTCTCTCTATTTAAAAATATGAGAATAAGTCTCAGCTCATGTGCTATGAACAAACTGCCGGTGAGCTAATTTTGGTGTGTGATCTATAGTTTCCTTTCCCTGGTTTAGTATTAGAAAGGCTTAAGATTTGGGAGAATTGGTGACATACATAAATTTTTTATATATATAAAGAAGTGCCATCAAGCCATACCCCTCAGCAGTACTACACAGATAAAATTAGAGATTGGATGGTAGATAAATGCCACGTGTTTGGAGCTTTTTGTTTGTTTTGCAGCAAGCAAACCAAAAAAAAAACTCTTGTTAGCTTGTTTTATGCTGTGATTGATGTTAAAAAAATCTGTGCTTTAACTATGAAACTTCCCCACTCCTCCCCACACACACATTATGTAAAACTGAGGTTATTTCAGGGAAACGAGAGATGACACTTGTTTAATTATTTCCTTGCTTTCTTTTTATTGGATTATCCCATAAAGTCCTGATCCCTTTTTACTTGGTAGTATGTTTTATAATATGTTGATTTTTACATTATACAGAAATAAAATAGGCATTTTACAAAGGAAAAGAATGCAAGAGATCCCAGGGTTGGTGACATTTAGATGCCTCACAAATGAAATTTACTCTCCTTATTTCTAACATGTGACCAGTCATATTATTTCCAAAGATGACAGTGTCTTAAATTCTTAATTATTGAGAATGAGAAAATGTATATTTTGCATTCCCTCAATTAATTTGAAAACAATATTGGGTTCAATATTAAAATGCATTAATATATTTTTAGTTTGTGTTTGTAGTATCTGTCATTCACTTACTCTACTTAACAAATTTTAGGTGGAAAAACCAAGTAGTGGTGGTGAAGATTTACTTCTTTATCCAGCTAAGAGAGCACAGCTTTCAAGAGGTGAACCCACAAATGAGAAAGTGCCACCATTGCCACGGCCTGCTGAGAAGCAGGTGTCAACATTAAAGGAGTATCCAGCAGTCATCCCAAAAGACATTAAAGAGAAAGTTGCAACACTGCTGGTGAAGTACTCAAGTGGGCTTTGGGCCAGTGCACTCCCTAAAGCCTTTGAGGACATGTACAAAGTGAAACTCCCTGAGGATGCCTTAAAAAATCTCGCTTCACTTTCTGATGTGTGCACTATAGACTACATTTCTGGAACACCCCAGAAGGCTATTCTCTATGCAAAACTTCCAATGCCCACTGACAGAATGTTCAGTGACGAACTGCAAGCACAAGGCGATTATGACATCAAGTGTATGATTGAGCAAGAGTATTTGCAGATAGAAGAAAACATTGCCGAAAGTGCCGATAGCCTCGTGGAGAATGTGACCATTCCTCCTCTAATCATTCCATCTGAGGCATCCCCATCTGTATTGGTGGTTGAGCTGAGCAATACCAATGAAGTGGTGATCAGGCAAGTTCCATTTTCTGATTCTTTAGGATTCTGGAGTACTGTTGTATGTTCACTGTTGTTCTCCTGACTGCTAAAGTTCGAAGAAAGAACTCTATAGAGTTAATGATAATAAAGTTTAATATACTTAATATTTGTTAAATGTTGAAAATACATAGATTTAGTGCTATTTTAGGGTCTGACAAAAAATGTATTATAAGCATGGTGATAACTACATACATTCATGCATTTCTCATGGTCCGAGATGAATTCTGTGAAATAAAGCATTATATAGTTTGAATTTTGTGTGAACACCATATTATTTATATATATAT